GACATTATCACTACGCATGTTCTTACCAATAATTATATTAACAGTCATCCAATACTCTGGTATGCTTTTTGACTGGTTGTTCCAAATTATATTGTTGTATCTTAGAAAAGATACTTGTTAAAGCTATCGGTCTTAAATCTTCAACAGACGGGGGGGGGGAATTATCTTTGGGATGGCACATATATCGTATATCTTACAATTAGCTGGGAATTCTTTACTGCAGAACGAATGATTGATTATGTCACATAAAATTGGTCCAATCAAGTCAGCAGCTTCTTTCAAAAATTTTCAAACGGGCATGCAGCTTTACTATGCTTAATTCTTTTCAGGCGCGAGATCACAGAATCAATGACAAGAGGCCCAGGCTCTATTTGCCTGTGCCTTCCTTATAACGAGGAAGGAAGGAAACATTGAGACCAAAATAGCCCAGACTTGGCATATGTCACACAAAACTATCTTCGATTTTCCGCCTTTAATGCATTTCTTTCAAGTTAATCGATATCCCCTGCAAGAATGATACCGTGTAACTCTCAATTAAAACAACGATGCTTTAATCAAAGAGCTTAAATTCGCACTAAACTACCGTGAGGGAATGACAAAATTCGGCCTAAATATATCCGCGTGCCAGGTTTGCTGTGCAAAAAGCGGAAGTCGTTCAACAACTCAAAATACACTCAATCCTGATTGGACAATGAATAATAACAAACATTTCAAATTTTTCTCCACAAACTATCCGTTTTTACTGACTAAACTTCTTAAATTTAGATATATAAATTTGCACTGGTTTTCCCCCGACAACGTTTGTGAATCGTTTTGATTCAAATAATTTATTACAGTACTGTCCCCCTCCCAGTGGAGAAAAATTTGAAATGTTTGTTGATATTCGTTGTCCAATCAGGATTGAGTGTATTTTGAGTTGGTCAACGACTTCCGCTTTTTGCACAGCAAACCTGGCACGCGGATATATTTTGGCCGAATTTTGTCATTCCCTCACGGGTTTTAGTGCGAATTTAAGCACTTTGATTAAAGCATCGTTGTTTTGAGAGCTATACGGTATCATTCTTGCAGGGGATATCGATTAATCGTGAAAGAAATGCATTAAAGGCAAAATATCGAGGATAGTTTTGTGTGACTTATGCCAAGTCTGAGCTATTTTAGTCTCAATGTTTCCTTCCTTGCACATGCGGGCGCAGGGCCGGTTAACGTCGCGCGAAGCCCGTGGCAGATTTTCAGCGCGAGGCCCCCAAGTTGAGGCCCCAACCCCCCCCCCCGTTATGAAAACCTTTGAATTCAAAGACATACAAAATTTGTTTTCAATTTTATCCACAAATTACAGCAATTTCGCAGCCAAGCTATCTCCACCAGGATTTCTGAATAATTTTCCGTTACGTTAAAACTGGTTTCAAACATCAATGAAACCTTTATATTTTGCTAATTTGGGTGTTGAACAACCTGAATTAATTGCGTCGATTTGTTGGATATAATTGGGGCTTACAAAACATTTTCAGTATAACATAACAAAACGTTAACGATTAACTTGGCTAAAAATAGCTAACGAAATGTCATACAAATCGAATGTACATTAGCACAAGCATTGGTGTCTATATACAGGGTGTATAAAAAAAAGGGGAGACCTTTAGAAATCAACCATATTGTTAAAATTTGAATGCCTTTTCAATTGCACATAATGCTGAACCGTAGTGCGTATTAGAAAAAGGAGACCTTTAGAAATTGAAATAACGTTTAAACAAAAGATTGTCTGCTCCTGGGAACAATCTGCCATGCATATTGTACGTAGATCGCATGTTACGCAGTCGTGGGCTTAGCAAAGTGTTCCAGGATTCAAATTATAACAATGGTTGATTTCTAAAGGTCTCCTTTTTCTAGTATATGCACTCCATCAATATTTCACCCACCACGGTTCAGCATATGTGCAATTGAAATGGCATTCAAATTTTAACAATATGCTTGATTTCCAAAGGTCTCCTTTTTTTTATACACCCTGCATAATCAGCGCAACTGAAGATTACATGCATACGGGTATTGCATATTTTCCTGGGGCCAACTGCCAAGCCTAGGGTCGACCCTAAATGCGCGAGGTCCCTAAATTCGTGAGGCACCTAAAATGGGCGTGTCCCAATAGAAAATGGGCGTGGTACAGTAAAGCGCGAGGCCCCCATAAGCGCGAGGCCCGCGGCATATGCCGCATCTTCCACGTGGTTAATCCAGCCCTGGGCGGGCGCGGGCAAATACAGCCTGGGCCTCCTGTGAATCAACAGATACTAAAGGCAGAGGAGTATTATTACCACATGAAAACCATTCTTCCATGGCAGGAGGATAATTTGATAAGTTAGATCAGAAAAAAGGTGTTAATTTCTTTGGCCATTTGAGATTTAGTGAGCGGTTCATTCGTGTCTTTATTGATTAATGTAAACCCAGAACTAATAGTTAGATTACATAGTGACTTAACACTTTTCCACCAAAGTTTGGCATTCTGAGCGTTTGGTTTAACTTTCATCTCATAGAAATTTTCTTTCCCTCTTTTTATCTCACAAGCCACTAGATTACGCAAGTTCTTATAAGATTCCAGGTTCTTTTTCACATACCTTTGATTTCGTTTGTATATCAGGTGTTTTATTCGGCCATTCATATATGGTTTGTCGATACAGAATTTTACCATCTTTTTGGGAAAAACCAATCGATAGCTTCTCCCAACAAGCGTGTAAATTTTTTCGTCCAGTGTTGCTATAGAATATACACTATAAACCAATCATACCACAGCAGTGTAATATTTGTTAATATTATACCTCAAATTCAAATTGTTCAATGAAAAAACAGCATTTGTACCAGGTGATGTGATTTTTTACGGTATTTCACTCAAATTCATGATTTCGCAATGCAGGTTGAGATACTATAATATCGGCGATATTTCCCTCAGTGATGATATTTTCCTCGGGGCAAAGCCACTCGGAAAATATCATCACTTCGGAAAATATTACGCCGAATCCCCCTCGCTCCGGGTCTATAAATGATAATTATTATATATCAATAGTCAAAGTCGCATTTTTCTAGTGTTTTATTGGTTGAGAGCATATCACGTGAGAGTGACGAAATTAGGCTGTCTCCCTCGCAACAGCGCGAGAGGGAGATAATACGTTATCCACCGGCGAATAACAAAAAAAAATCACGTGCGCCATCACGTGAAGGTGCGACCTTTGGACATGCCTAGTACGTAATTAAAACTTTCGCTTCTTATAACTGCAGTGTAGCCAGTGTTTAATATAACGTTTTAACAATAAAATATTTCATGTATTTACGTTCATTTGTTCTTTAATTTGTTGTTTCTTTGACTATTGATATATAATAAAACACTTATTTACTGAGACCTCGGGAAAGCAGTGTGTTTTGTGGACCCTCGACCGTCGATGTTTCGACGGTCTCGGGTCCACAAAACACACTGTTTCCCTCGGTCTCAGTAAATAAGTGATAAATGTTATTTGTGGTTTCTTCATAGCATAATTCTGACGCAGCGACAACCTTAGCAGAGGGGGGCCCAGACTGTAAAATCTTTACTGATATTAAATTACGAACGTAATTAGTTCTGTTCCGCATAATTAGTTCTGTTCCGCATATTCTGTGTTTGATGATATTTACGTCTATAGGAGATATTCTTATAGGGATATTTCTCAAATTGGTTAAAAGACGTGTGGAAAGGGTGAGTGTAACGGGATTTCCATCAGTGATCTCGGCCGGTATAGATCGAGGTACCTCGCTTTGTAAGCTATTGCATTGGGATCATAGGTCTTCGGTGTTCGGGTAAAAAAGGAGCAGGTCTCCGGCTAAACCGATTTCAGGGTAACTTTTCTCGTTAAAAAGAGAACTCAGCGAACAAGTTACTGACATCAGTGGCATGTGAGTAAGAAGGTACCACAGAGTAGGTACATACAGAGGTGTAACTGGCCGTCGTAAACACTGCGGCAACATACGTTTTCATGCACCCACTTTTTTCAGGCGACTGCGCATGCTCGGCAAGTGGGTACACTAGTTATAAAAAGTGGGTACACTAGTTATAACTCTGTATATGTATATTCTCTGTGTACTTACCCACATGTCGGGTCTCTTGCTCGAGATACGTCTTAACATGACAACATCATCCTTACTCGATACGTCTCGACATCCTCTCTATACTGGCACGCCAGTCACTTGCTTGGTATACGTTTCAACACCCCCTTACTCGCAAGGCACTAACTTGTTCGCTAAGTCTCAACATCCTCTTTGCTCGCATATCAGTCACTTGCTCGCATACGTCTCAATATCCTCCTTGCTCGCATGCCAGTGACTTGCTAGCATGCGTCTCAACATCCTCCCTACCCGACACGTTTCAAGTTCCGCCTACTGCCTTACTCGCATTCCAGCCACTTGTTCGTGATACGTTTTAAAATCCTCCATACTCGACACGTCTCAACATCCACCTTACTCGCATGCCAGTGACTTTCTCGCTGTGTCTCAACATCCTTCTTACTCGACAGGTCTCAACATTCTCAACACTCGCACGCCAGTAACTTGCTCGCGATACGTCTCAACGTCCTCCTTTCTTGCCAACGTCCTCCTTACTCGCATGCCCGTCACCGGCTCGCAAATGTCTCAACATCCTCCTTAGTCACATGCCAGTGACTTCTCTCTGAGTTCTCTTTTTAACGGGAAAATTTTCGGCAGCCCTGAAATCGGTTTAGCCGGAGACAGGGTTTCACGTGCGGTAAAGCCTCACACTTCTAAATACTATTTTCACTGCACCCCCTGTTGGTGCCGGCGACGTTTCATTCAAATTTTTTTCCCTAGCCACTGTCGATGGTAAGGTAGTGGCTTACCATGGTTGTAATCGGCGACGGAGAATTAAGCCGGTTTTCCACTTCAAGCGTACCGTACCGATATGTATCAAAAACGTTTTTAAATTTCAAAATTCCGTGAAAGTTGATTGGTTAGTACTTCCCTAGTACGCCAAAAAGTTGACTTGCGACGAACTTTTTATTTTGATACGCGAATACACCCGGAAGTACGTGGATTTATAAACCTCTTTTCAAGCCCTGTATTGCTATTTTTGTCACCACCTCCCCACGTTAGGATTGGGTAATTTGCTCGCCTGCTGCCTTCCTTGGATGTAGTAACCGTTTCTCCCTAATCGAACACTAAAGCCGGTTTTCCACTTCGCCCGTTTCGCTACGATACGGGCAAAGTGGAAAACCGGCTTTAGTGTTCGATTAGGGAGAAACGGTTACTACATCCAAGGAAGGCAGCAGGCGAGCAAATTACCCAATCCTAACGTGGGGAGGTGGTGACAAAAATAGCAATACAGGGCTTTTTTGTAGTCTTGTAATTGTAATGAGTACAATCTCTTAACGAGGGAAAATTGAAGGTGATTTCTGGCATATAGCAGTCGCGGTAATTCCAGCTCCGATAGTTCGTAGTTG